ACTGGTTTTTATAAACATGGCTTTCTCTAACTCATCCAAAAGCTGGAATATATCCGGCCCATTTTGAAGAATACATATCAATTTCACAGCTATAAATAAACAAAACCACTACACAAGCAGATGAATATAATCTGGTAGACGTAGTATATTTAATTGTGGAAAAACAAAGAAAAACACCCAATATGAACCTTGAAAACAAATGCTCATCCCTCTCATGTTATTCGGGTCTGGCATATGACTTTGCTCCTGTCTTTTCTGTGTTTGTTTTCACCAACCTCCCCGACCTGTTTTTGTGTATGTGTGTTTTTTTCTTGGTTTTAACGGTTTATTTTCAGTTTTTTCTATTTTATTTTATTTTATATCTTTATCCTTTTTATTTTTAAATCCATGCATTTTTTGAATCATGAGAGAATTTTTGAAAGTCCAGGCATATTTTTTACAAATTCATGAATATTTGAATTCTGGAAATATGTTTTGAGTTCGAAGAACAATTTTAGAATTCAGGAGTATATAGTGAGTGGAAAAACATTTATGCAGGAACATTTTTAAATTAATGATATATTTATATCCACATACATTTATTTATTTCGATAACACTTTTTGAAATGCTAGTATATTTCTAAATATTTTATTGTTATTTTAAAATCTAGGAACATTTTCAAATTCTGGGACGTTCTTTAAAATTATGGAACATTTATTATATTTCCTAATATTTTTCCAATTAACAGGAAAATCAAATCCAGCAACTTTTTTCAATTTTTGTTAAAAATGAAAAGTAGGAAAAAGAAAACCAAGAGGAGAAAAAGGAAAAAAATATATATATTCATATTTAGTGCCACCTTTAGCACTGCATTACTAGCTCGGTGGGTCTCGGGCCAGTAGCGCTAGCTCACCGCCTGCTCCGCTCGTGAATTGAAAACAATGTGCATGAATGTGTAAAAAACAGCTCAAAAAAAGAAATTATCGGTTGTTTGATATATTTGAAAAGTTCACTGACCTAAATATTTACAAATTTTTAAAAATGTTCTTGAATTTAAAAAAAATTACGAATATTTGCTATGAACACATTTGAAAAAATGTTCAAGATTTTGAAATTATCGTGATTTTTAAAAAGTTCATGATTTTGAAAAAAAATAAAGAATTTATAAATGTTCACAAATTCTGAAATCTCATGAATTTAAAACAAGAAAAAATAAAAAGGAGAAGAATAAAAAATGAACACGGAAAAAAGCCTAAAAGATAACTAATAAAGCACAAAGAAACAAGGAAAAGAAAAATGAGAAAAAAACGTCCAAAAGATTCTAGAAGCTTCCAAGAACCGGTGAAAAGGTAGCTTCCTGAGTTGGAAGATTTTGCTATCTCTGCGTGTGCAACCCCGCACAAAAAATAAAACTTTGTTGCTATTTTCTCTATGTCTTGTGGACCTGAATAAACTGCCTCCCTACGCAAAGCTTCTTCATCTCCAGATACGACCATCTTTATACCGGGGGGACGGGGGTTCATTGTAGCTGAGTGAATATTCTTGAGAGATCATGTACAGGTATAGGCGCCCAATGGCTCTCATCAAAGATAAAGTAGTCTTGAGAGAAGTGGACCGCCAAACTCAGACCGAGGACGTAAAGCTTCCTTCACATTTGCACATTTCCTGACAGAGCTTCTATGTGTGTGTCCCTGGCAATGGCGTACACCACACCGCCATGGTGGTCGCGCATCACGTACCGCACCGGCGCTCGTCGCTCTGAACTGAAAGCGCGCGGCATCAACATTGAACTTTACCGCTCGTGATGGCCTTTTTGACCCGGACTTAATTGGCGCGAATTAAAGACACGGTTCTTTCCTTTTCACATCATAAGTTGAGGTGAGCAGAGCACTCCCATCCCAAGCATGTTCAGCAGCAGGTCCCCCTCCGTCCACAACACTTTCATTTCTGAGATGCCACCAACACCCCTCAGTAGGTCCGTCCTTGGAGATTTTTGGCTAGCAGCAACAGAAGAAACCAGTCAGGCCAACTATGGGGTCTGTCTGATACAAACTATCCAAGTGTAGTGCAACTTATATTCATCAATCATCGTAACGTAAAATCCAAACTCTGGGTCTGAGACAACATCCGGCGCGCGCTCAAGCAATCAGGCGCCACGAGTGCACGCACGGAATAGGATGAGATGAGCACCATTCCATGTTCACATCTGCCAGGCAAAGCAGCAGCAAATGAGATGCTTAGGTACTTGCCACGCTTCCTCGGCAGGGGAGCGACTCTGAAATGTTTTCGTCAGATAACATAATAAGAAGCGTGTTAGCTAGCTAGTGTAATTCTTGTAGAATACTGACAGTGAGCAGTACAACACATTCAGAACACACAATGGCTGTGATGTTGAGCGATTTCGCGACATACCTCATGCTCATCTTAGCTACTAGTTACAGCTGACGTACATAGCAACAGTTAAGTGTAACTTGAAGAAAAGGTGTGCCTCGCTGCGCCGTTATAACTCGAGAATATGGATGTGGTAGAATGTTTTATCAGACGATGGCAATGATAATAAATATAGAGAATGTCTAAGATGTGGTGAACATCAACCATCTTCGCCTTTTTTATAAATGTGTACAATTTGAAAGAAAAACTTCACTTTGTACAACATCACAGTTTTAATAACAACTTTTAACAAAAGCCTGATGGCCAAACTGGATTTGGATGGTTCTTCCTCTGCACCCATTCCATGCCTCATTCACAAAAGGTCCTGAGACCTACCACCTCGGCCATCTTCCCATAAGCATTCGACAGATACTGCTGCTACCAATTCTGAGGTACAAGATCATGCAGTTCATGGCAAAGAAGCAGCTCATTTGAAGAGCATCTTGAGCTGCTCAATGGCGCGGATTGTAGTGAATGGTGCTCCTCTCCTCTCTATCTTCAGTGAATCACCGGGATGATCAACCGACGGACGACGGTGATGATGATATCTTGGAACATCACTGCCTTCGGTGAAGATCAACGGAATAGCATTTCTTGGACACAAATGACGGACAGGCTTCAAGCAAGCCGTACGAGCAGCATCCCTTTGCTGGGAAGAAGAGTCTGACCATTTATTTTTCCAACAGGCAGGTATCCTCCATGGCTCCAGCTCCATTCCCTTTGCTGAGAAGAAGAATCTGACCATTTGCATCTGTCTGCCACGTAAAGCAGCAGCAAATGGGATGTGTAAGTACTTGGCACGGTTCTGTCAGCCACGGTCAAAATAACTTGTCATATACTAATACCGAATGACCAAAATACTAACCATGGTATGAAGGTGAATAAGGCCTCACTGGATGTACTCATCACAGCAATTTCTGAGCGACTGGCTTTAGATATTCCTAGCTGCAGACTACGCTTCTGCTAGCCTAGCCTATGTGTCTGCTTCTTCTTCCTTAGCATGGCTCCAATGAGCATGGTAGCTGATTCTGAAACGTTTACAAGTCGGTCGGTTAACCTAATAAGAACATGTAGCCATCTTGCAGAGTTGCCAGTCGCTGGGGAGCCTATGTACCTCACATGAATGAGCCTTCTCCGGTGTTTTAGGTACACCCATTGCTGTAGTCATCGAGCAAGTGTGTAGGAGTCCTTGTGTACCGCCGCGAGTATGGGACAAATCGTGTTTCTCTCGGTGCCCTGGACTGTTCAGTGGCATCTAGACCTTTCTGCAGTTGCTCACACCTGCAAAATTGGACCAGTCGTTCCCTTAGCTGATTATACATACATAACGTCCTCTACTCAGAATACAAATGCATAATCCCTTGTTACCTTTGCAGTGCTGAGTTTTCGAAATAAAATGTTGTCAGCTGCATCTTGTGGCCTTTGGGGCTTAAGGAAATGATAATCTTGCTTGTTAGTTTGTCATTATGACCTGCACAGAGGAGTTGCTTGTTAGTTAGTACAAAAAGCATCATCTCTCCATGTGGATGTGATTGGCCCACTGTAATACTTGCACAAAGTCACAAACTCACAGTTTCAGGACGAATATGCAATATACCATCAGGCTGTACTACTACTCTCTATGATCCGAATTGAGTCCGTGCATGCACTGCTATGGTATATATGCAGGCTATTCTTGTGAAGACCCTATATGCCATTAAATTTCAGTAAACAACAACAGTTATGACAAAATGCTAAGGATACCTGGTATCAGTAGAATGTAGACTGGATTGAGAAACTGCAAACCTTGTCGGTAGCAAAACACTCCATAATTATGCCATGATGATCTTTTGATCCTTACAACTGAACTTTCGAGGTACACCATCAAGTCTTCATGGATTTTGGACAAATGTAAACACAAGTAGCTGAACAGCAAGTCAACAGAAATTACGAATGCGAGAACACCTAGAATTGGTAGCAATGTAGCAGTGTATGAAAAACTGGTCAGACCTTGATATCAGTAGCTTGACCCCAATGTTTCATTTATTCACTACTTACGCCAGTGATATTGTGACCGTGACACCCAAAATAGGCAAGTAGACTACCATGCCTTGATGAATGACAATAACCCAAATTTGCATGCAAAAAATAAAGAAGCCATAACATTGAACGAACACCTGCACAGAGAACCAAAACAAATGGTGATCATAGATTTCGTTGGTTACAAAATTTAGGAAGAAAAGAGAGGAGACTTGCAGCACACATTGGCTGATAATTACATTGCTTTTCTTGACTTGTACATAAGACAGGGGCATTGAAAAATGAATCTTGAACATTTCACTACAGGAGTAAATTTCCAGTTTATATGTTACTCACCAGATTTTTTGTACAGTAAGGAAGACGACGGCCACAAGACCCTTGGGTCATGCACGGTGGCAAATGTGTATGCATGTAAAGAGTTGAGCTCTAGAAAGATAGAAGAATGTACATGGGAATTCCAAGGCAGAGTCCTGCACAGTGGATAGGAACAAACGCAACAGTGTCATTAAGTAGGATTGCAGCAAAAGGGCAAGGTGGAAAACACAAGAAAGTATGTTTGTGTTACCTTGGATCAGTGTTGTATGATTCTTGGGATGGTTCCCACTAACCCTCTGCACTGCTGTTTTAGCTCCTCCGAGCAGTATCTAACATTTAGCTCTTGCAGTGATTTGGGCAGGTCATCACTGGGCAACGATGAGATAGCTGGACAGTCGCTGATTGATAGTATCTCGAGACTGGTAAGGTTGTGCAGCCTTGCAGGGAGTTGCTGAAGATTGTGGAAACTCCAAAACTCTAGTTCCTGGAGGGAGGAGAGGAGTTGAAGGGCGTCCTCTTGCTCCTTGCTGAAGCGCTCCACCTCTTTGGACCCATTCCCACGAAGTCCCAACTCGGAGAGGGAGGAGAGGAAGCTGCAGATGGGTGCAGCAAGGAGTCCCGCTGCATCATCCGTGCAGAGCTCCCGCAGTGTGGATGAAACAAGCTGTGTTTGCTGCTCTTCTCCTTCAACATCCTCCAACGCCCGTCTGGGATTGGGATCCCAACCAACAAAGAATCTAGGGCTGCCAAAGACTTTTAATTTGTTGAGCTGGCCCCCAGATGTAAGGAGAGACCGCAAGCCCTGACATTTCAGATCATGCCCGCAATAATTCAATTCTAATATGGTAAGAGAGGAGAGGCTTGAGAGGGGCTCAAGTGTCCCCATGCCTTCCACACTCCTAAGCCCCAGGAATTGCAAGGAGGAAGGAAAAAGTTGACGGAAAAACGAAATAGCTGATGTTGTTTGTTGTAGATCCACCCCCACTATGTTTTCTATGTATTCTATTTCCAATTTGGAGAGCCTTGGGAGGTGGGGGAGGAGCTTTATCAATTCCTTCCCACTAGTACCATTTAAGTCATTCATCCTGATATTCTCAACGGGGAGTTGCCATTCGAAATCACCTTGACCTCCTAGTGGTCCAACCAGGGCATCTGAACTAAATACAATCAATGTCTTCAGCGAGGTTAGCATCAGAAGGTGCTTCAACTCAAGAGGTGGGCACCTACCGAGTGTCAGCTTCTCAACACCTGCTTCTTTATCCAGAACTAACACTTGGTCTAAACTATGTAGATCACCCTCTCCATTAATCGTCAATTCTACCCCATCAGATGATTTTGAGTATTTAAACAAATGTAGTAGCTTCACATCTGATAAATGGAAATGGCACAACCTTTCAATCCAGGAGATGGGAGTCACTGACAGGAATTTTGGGCAGTTCACAATTACAAACTCTTGTAGTTTGGGAAACCAATCTGGGAAAACAATATGGTTTGAAGAAGGCAACCACAAGAATTTCGGGCAATTCATAATAAATAGCATTTGCAAAAGAGGGAACATATGAGCATGTGGTGGCGACAGGTCTCTACCCAAGGCAGACTCTTGTTCAGCTGGACAAACCCATTTTTCAAAACTCTCTAGGCCAATGAGTTCAAGCTTTATTAGCATGCAAAAGCTTTTTTCTATGATAAACTCCTTTGGTGTGCCAATATGCTCCAACCTTAATTCACGAAGATCCCACGCCTTCCCTAGAGAAGGGAAAACCTCCCAAGAAACACCAGAAAGATAAAGAGACTGTATAGCTTCAATAGCGAACTCATCACCCAGCCATGTTGGACAAGAAGGGCCTCCATGCCCTCTAATGCACAATACTTGAAGATCTCCATGTGGTTGAAGTCTCTCAAGAACCAATGCTTCCAAACTAGGGTCAACATTAGATCGCTTACTATCCCAATCCAATGTTAACCTTCTCAGGTAGTTTTTCTCTATCAGTTTTACTTGAGCCGCTTCTTCTTTTGTATGTATTTTGTGAAGGTTATACATTCCAAGCTCCCTTAGCTTGGTCAAAGTCTCTAGTTGCTTTGGTTCAAATCCTTCACTCTTTTTGTTGACTTGAAATACCTCTAACTCTTCTAAGTGTATAAGTTTTCCCACATTATAAATATCATAACATTGCTCATCTATTGTGGTATACAAAGGACCGGTTTTAAAACAATCAATTGGAGTATAAAAATGGCACAATTTGGCAAGGTTGCTCATGTCTTCAGGCAAATCATGACTACCATACCATGACTCAAGATCTAGAACCCTTAAGTGGTAAAGTTTAGACATGTTAGGTGGTAAATGTATCTGTCTGTCCCATGTCCCTAGACACAGGAATCGTAGGTGGACAAGTCGTGAGAAGTTATGCAACATGCATTCCACTGGATACATCATGTTGGGCAAATAAAGAACACGAAGAGAATTTGCTTCCCCAAAAAAATCACCAAATACCTTGGCAAAACTTTTATCTATTTTTCCAAATAACATCAAACTTTGCAAATGTTCAACCTTCAATCTTGTTTTCAGTTCTTTCAGTTCACTCTTTAATTTTTGGCCAGACACTGCATCATATTCACCTAAGTCCTCTATGCTTATAGATAAGTGATGGGTCGATGGCTGAACTTCTACTGACTCAACATTAGGGAGACGTAAACTAAGACAATCATGCGATGCAACCTTCAATGCCAAATCATGCAGTAGGTCATGCATAACGTACCGCAGACCTGCATAAGTTTCCTCTTCTCTGAAAAATCCATGGATTACTAACTCATTTAAATTGCTCAAACCTATATCTTCCAATGTTTGGTTTTGACCACCAGGTATCAAAATATCTAGTCCTGTCCATAGGCCAATGAGCTGGTGGCTTGTGACACAATAATCTTCAGGAAACAATGCAGAATAGGCGAAACATTGTTGCAGATGGAAAGGGAGAAAGTCATAGCTAAGCCTTAAGGCAGGCATAATTCCATTGTTATCGGTCTCCCATTCTTTACTTTTTAGCACCCTTTTCCAATGATGCAAACTAAGTTCTTTACTGAGTACTCTACCAACAGTTTTTGCTGCAAGAGGGGATCCCTTTAGTTTTTGGATTATCTTATCTCCAGTCTCAAGCAGAAAATGTTTATCCCTTGCACACTGCTCATCGCCAAAGACAAATGCAAAAAATAACTTTCTAAACTCTTCAGATTCTAAACCGTTCAATTGTATTGAATGACCTGTTTTAACCTTCTGTGCTATTGCTTGAAACCGAGTTGTGACTAGAATTGTGCAACCCTTTTCTTGTGATTGATTGAGTATCGACAGTAGATTTTCCCAGTCATCCCCATTACTAATCTGCCATATATCATCCAATACAAGTAAGAACCTTTTAGATTTCAATCTTTCTTCAATCAACTCTTCAGTTGTACTGCCCTCCTTTTCATTTTCAACTGCAGGGGTACATGTTTTAATTTGTTCTAGCACCTTATCCAGACTGAAATTGAGCGACACACAAATCCAAATCATGACTGGAAAATAATTCTTCACTTGTTGGTTGCGATATATGTGTTGTATCAGAGTTGTCTTCCCCATCCCCCCGGGACCAACAACCGAAAGCACAGTTAGACCCTTGTCACAATATTGACCCTTGGTGATATCATGTATGATGCTATTCATGACCCAATCCCTCCCATACAGTTTTGGCTCATCAATTCGACCTTTGGTGATGGGACGACTCAAGGCAATGTTTGGGACAGTTCTAGGGCTACAACATTGCAGAATTTTGCTAACCTCATTACGCATAAGTTGCAGTTTCTCTACAATGCCCTTCACCCTTTGAGAGAAATTCACCCTATTAAACTCAAGCTTTGGTGTTTCTTGTGCATTGCTGCAATTGTCATCGTGAACATGGGGGTGTGGGGAAGATGAGCCATGGAGGAATTTACCGAGCTTGGGCATGCGCCTGCTGGCCTCCTCATCAGCCTGATTGGCCTTTGGCGCTGATGAGAAATCACCACGTAACCTCTTCTTACCATGCTGTGAAGCACAATAATTAACATGTTGTCTTGCATCTTGTTGTCGGTGATCACCAGCATTGGCACCAAACCAGTACGCAGACAAAGATGCTAGTTGTTTGCCAAGAGCTTTGGCGATGTGATGAGCATTGACGACAAGGTTGTGGACACCACTCTTGCCTTGCTGTTCAGCAGCATTGTACGTGCCATGGAGCTCATCGTGGATGCGGAAGTAGTCCAGCTCATCCAGCAAGTCTTCGGCATTGTGTGCTGAATCCCGCAGCTTCTGCAGCAGTATCTCCATGGCTGGGCCACCGAGCTCCTTGAGAGCAGCTTGTTCGAGCATGGCTTTCACTAGCAGCAGTTCCGTACTGAGGGCCTCAATGTTGAGACCAAGGTTCCTGCTACCTGCCCAAGCCTCTAGCAGACCATCCGTGACGGGGGCTAGCGCCTTGCCCACCACCCATTGCGCCGCACTGAGGGCCGCGTCTGACATCCTCTAATTGACGGACTTGCTGCACCTGCATCGATCCAGGAACCGAAGGGAAGTCATTAATTCATAGATTTTCCGTCACCAATCAAAATTCAAAAGTGATCAATCCTGGCTGCAAGTTAAAGGAGAAGAGTGTGCACTACTTACTTACGTTGGCACGCACTCACGCACGAGGTGCCGGTGATGGATGCCGCCTGGCTAGTGCAAAAGGGGGGTTGAGTCGTTGCAGGAGGTCTTGAGGAACACCTTACCTTACATATACACGAGAGGAGAGGAGAGATAGGGAGATATGTAACCAGTGGCTGCTGTGTAAGGGGATGAGGATAGTTTGCTTGACTTGACTTAGCTTACCACACATGCAGCTCACTTGGTTTTTCAGAGTGGAATGTGAATGAATCCTATCCTATGGCTGATTGAAGATAAGCAAGAATTGTCTCCCACAGCAACGGGTCGTAGATGTATGGCTGGACGTACCCGGCCTGCAGATATCTTTCTGGGCAGCTAGATGTATGCCATTATGAATTTCTTGGCTTGTATTGATAGCTACATGTAGGACTAGGCAAAATAATTTTCGTAGACTTGTCTGAACGCGTGATTTGCACGCATTTATCTATAATGGCAATTACTTGTATCTCTATCTGTGAAACCTTAGGAACCCTATATATGGCTGATTGAAGATAAGCATTGCAGGAATTGAAGGTATGACAAGAGTAATTGTCGCCAACAGACAGCAACGGGAGGGCCGCAGACGAACATATATATGGCTGATATCTTTCCTGACTTGTCGTCGATAGCTACATGCATGACCAATTGACCATTACTTGGTACTAGTTTCCATGGATGCACCTAGAAGGACGGGCGGAAGGAGACGGGACGGCTACTGAGTTGTTGGGCGGTCACTATAGTATACAGGTAGTGGAGGTAGATAGGTCGCAGTGGAACGAACCTCATGGGAATAAACACAAGCACCTGGTGGGCAGGCGGACGAGGAGTGACCAGGGGACGCTTGCTTCCAGACTCCAGAGGAGAGGATCGAGGAAGCTCCCAGAGGAGGCTTCGTCCTCGCCCGCCGCTCGGTGCCTCCTCGCCGTCGCCGTCTGCTGTTGCCTGTTGGAGTTGAACTCGTCGGCGGCAGAGCTGCAGAGCAGAGGAAAGGAGGAGGAACGGTGGGTCGGATCCATGGTGGCGGTGGGCTACTCCCTCCCGTGCTGCCGCAGGGCCGATGTGGTACATGGGCTGTACGACCGGCCCCCAACATGATCATTTTTAAGAAATCAAAAAGTTTTTTTAAAAAGTTTGGTGAACATTTTTAGACAAAGGTGAAGGTTTTTCTTTAATACTAGGGGAATTTTTATAATAAAATAAAATCAAAAACGAAAAGAAAAACCAAACAAAACAAAAAAAACGAAAAACGGGTAAAGACGGTAGAGAAAAGCCGTGACATTTACACGCGATGAGCCGCAATTGGATTTGCTTTGGTCGCTCGCACTGCCATTCCAAGGGCTATGAAGAGAGCGCCTACATATGACCTGAGTTGCAGGTGGTGATCTAGCCAGAGAGCGAGCAACATGTTTTGTTGGAGTGATGTGGCACGAGTTGCCGTGGGGGATGACAGATGTTTTTTCTGTCAAGGTATCTGATTAGCATGGAAAACCTTCAGAGGAGCCAGCGGCCAACAGTCACTTCAATGAGCTAGTCCAATGTACTCCCTCTGTAAACTAATATAAAAGCGTCTAGATCACTACTTTAATATTCTAAACGCTCTTATATTAGTTTACGGAGGGAGTAGCATGCATGTCCAAAGTGTCATCCGGCAGGGCAGATAGCGCGAATAACTTGGCAACAATTATTCGTGCATGCACATAGTGTTGCTCATAATGCACGGTGTAGGACTAAAAGTAGCATTCAACTATACAATTCCTAGAGTAGCTTAGGCCCACATCTTCACATAGACTGTTTCCTCACATAAAGCCGTTACAGGGAAGCTGTTAAATCGTCACTAAAATTATAGACCACACTGTAATCATTGTTTTCCCACTGGCGCACCCAGGCTCGACGCCTATGTACCCTTTTTTTTGCGGGTGAAAAAAAACCCTGAGAGGCTGTAATGGCCACTCTGTTGTGCACATGGTTTGTGTACGAGAATTTCCAAAAACCCCTGCTTCTATTGATGCAATGATGCGCAAACATTTTGCGTATTCGAGAAAGAAAATAGATCTAACTAAGTCCATGCCCACACATGATTAGATATAGACAAAGATCCTGTGTGTTTTTTTCAAATTTGCAACATTTATTAAGTTTAAGTTACATTTTTCAAATTTGCGAGTATTTTGCAAAATACATAAAATTTTATCACATTTTTAGTTCATAAACATTTTTTAAAATTGATGAGTATTTTTTAAAATTCACAGTAATTTATAAATTCTAAAGTATTTTGAATATTTGTGATTTTTTTTATTCTTGAACATTTGTTTAGTCAGAAAATATTTTTGAATTGGTTTATTGTGAATGAATGTTATTTTAAAATTCATGAAATTTTTAAATCTCCGAATAGTATTTAAATATATTTTATTAAATATAACATTTGTAACAAAAGGTCAAACTACATCAGGAAATTACGGGATCATGAAGATCACATATCCTATTTGCCGCTCAGGTTTTCTGCAGGCCTGTGGGCTGTGACGTTGTGTTGTGGGCTTGTGGCACATGAAGATCACATATCCTATTTGCCGCTCAGTTAGTGCAATTGTGTCTCAAAAAAAGTTAAAGTGCAATTGGTAAAAAGCGCACCCCCCTCAGTACTTATGTTTTGAATGGCCGTTCCATGATCGCAAGCATGAGCGGAAAGCTCCTGATTTTGGGAAGCTTCCACCAGTTTATTGTTAGTTTTCTAGTTTGGTTTTTACGGTTTTATTTGGTTTACCTTCTCCTTTTTTTTTACGTTTTTCCCTTTTCATTTTTAATTATTTTCTTCTTTTTATCGCCAGTTTTTTGTTTGGAAATGTAGCTTCTCCCTTCTTTTACATTTTTGAAATTCGGAAACTTTTGCAAATCCAAGAATTGTTTCTTTTAAAACACGTGACTTTTTTTGAATTCGCCAGTATTATTTTCAAAATATGAATATATTCAAATCCACATTTTCCCAACTTTCAAACCTTTTTAAAAAATTCAGAACTTTTCTACAACTCAAGAACTTTTTTAAAATTGATGAACTTTTTTTAACTCATGAACTGTTTCCTTCAAAACACGTGAAAATTTTTAATCCACGTTTTTTCTTGAAAAGATTGAATATATTCAAATCCACAAAATATTTCCAAATTTATGGTTCTTATTTAAAATTCCTGGAATTTTTTTAAAACTCATGATTTTGTTATAGATTTGTTGAATCTTTTTCCAAATACGTGAAATATTTTTTAAAAAATGATGAAATGTTTTTAAATTTCCAAAATAATAATCAAAATCCATGAACTTTTTTCAAATCGACGATTTTTTTTTCAAATCAGCAAAAAAAATCCAAGATCGTGAAACGTTTTTTGAATTTCCCAATTCGTGGTTTTTTGCAAAAAAGAAATTTAGAAAAGGGGTATTACCCTAGCCTCTGCATCAGAAAGATGCATACGGCTCATATTATTAAAAAACAAAATGAGTCACAAAGTCTCCAATATCTGAAAGGTCGAAAAGAAAACAAGCTGCTCAAACGAGCCTAATCATGAAGCCACAACCGGCTGGCAAATAAAATAGAAGCACTACATGCCTATCCTATTACATGACCGCCATCCAAACCGGTTGAAAATAACCCGAGCTACCATCTCCCATCGGGTAGACGCAGTAGCCAAACGCCCCCTGGCCTCCGTGGGAGTGAGTAGCGACCACATACGGATCAATGCTGTGGCCCTGAAGATAACCTGCAAAAAATGAAAGTTCGTTGCTCTGTTAAAAACCAAATCATTTCTGCAGTTCCATACTGCCCATAACAAGGCACACACGCCAACACGAATGTGTCTTGCTACATCCAAGTTCACCCCATCAAGCCATGTTCCAAATAACATATTGATAGAGGTAGGTGAAGTAATATTAAAAGCAATATGAATCGAACGCCAAAGAATCTTAGCCAGTGGACAATCTAGAAAGACATAAATATATTTGAAGTTGCAATATTGATAGAGGTATGTGGTTTTTTGCAAATGCATGAATATATTTGAAGTTGCAAGGCTAGGGCATGAAGCAAGCCAGCTGAGATGAGCAGCATTCTTTCTTGTGCTGAGAAGAACACAAGCTGACCATCTATTTCACCAACAGCTGAGATGAGCAGCTACGTACCCTCCGTTCCATGTTGACGTCTGTCGGGCAAATTAAGCAGCAGCAAAGGAGTGAGAAGACCCAACTACGTATTCCCGTTGGGTCATATATTTTGGAACGGAGGGAGTTCGGAAAACTAAACCACTCACACATTAAACCACCAAGCACCTAGGTGAAATTCAGAGGATGACCGCAAGAGAAATATATAGCGGATTAAGGGCACGCAGCATTTACCTCTAAGATAGATCCGGGGTTGGTTTTATACCCATTACAACCAGTGAAAGGTAATCTTAACTTTAACACTAATAAAGCAAAGCAGCTGAACAAGGAGGCAGTAAATAAAGGTAATTAAGATCAGACGGTCGACGTTGAGCCCGCCAATCGACTGCGTGCTGGGTGTCAATTTCTTTAGTTAACAGCATGACAGGTGTCGATTTCTTCAGTTAACAACAGAATGTGTCGATTTCTTCAAAAGATGCAGTCTCGTTGTTCCTGACAAGGAGGGAGATGTGCAAGTAAATGGCTCGGTTCTGCTACTGCCGGCCAGGGTTCAGAATATTTTCTACTACATTAAAAGCGACGGACTGCATATTAAAGTTGTTTATCACAAGCGACAATATAAAGTGACGTTCTTTTATATTAAGATTTTGTGCATCCAAGCATAAAAGCGCATGACAACCTCTGCTTCCCTATGCGAAGGGCCT